CTGTCGACCTTCTCTCTGTCCTGATTTTGATGACAACCAGTCAAGACCATTGCCCTCTCAGCCATCAAACCCCAATCAGTCCTCCTTATGACCACCATCATCAGGCCCACACAAGAGGCCTGAGCAGCTGCCAGGCCCATCCAAAGCCCACCAAACCCAAGCCCACTAAAAAAACCAAGCCCAACAGCCACGGGCATGCCCACAAAATAAAATGACCCCAAATTCACATTGGCCCCAACCTTGGGCCTAGCTGTCCCCCTCAAAACCCCACACCCAATTGTTTGGGGGCAATTCCCAAGCTCACAAAGCCCAATTATGGGCAAAACCCTAGAAGTTAGTATCCAAATCTCCTCATCACTTGAAAAAAGCCTGGCCCATTTGTTCTTCACAGTTAGAGAGAAACCCAAGGCAAAAAACCCAAGCAAAAATCCACAAAAAATAGCCACAATTGTTGAGTGTTTGGCCTTTTGGGGCCTATTTGCACCCAGCTCATTGCTAACCCTAGTTGAGACCCCAAAGCTCAGAGAGGAGGGGAAAATATAGAGGAGGGAGGTTGTTTGCATGAGAATCCCCATTGATGCAACAGTTGCACTTGGGTTTGAGAGAAGCCCACACAAAATTATCATTATCTCATACCACCACCACTCCAAACAGGTGGATACACAGCTTGGGATTGCAAGGCTGAGGAGGCTCCCCCACTCTCTAAAACATTCTAGAGAGAGAGAGCCAAATGCCTCCTTGTGGAGACCAGAGGTGTAGAGATAGAGAGAGAGAGAGAACAAGATGTTCAAATTGGTGCAACAGGAGGCCAATGCCACACCCCTCACACCTAGGCCCATGACATTGATGAGCAGATAGTTGATGGGGATGTGGAGGAGAATGGCGGACAAGGAGCAGTAGGTCAGAGGCATGGTTATGCTCTGCGTTCGGAGGTAGACGCGGAGCGGGTGCAGGACGGCGAGAGAGAGAAGGTCGGGGAGCGAGAAGAGAATGTAGGTTTGAGCTGTGGAGGTTATGTCCGGGTCTTGGCCGGTTAGAGAGAGAAAGGTGTGCATGCTCAACCAGAGGAGAGAGATTGGGAGTGATGCAGAGAGTAGTAAGAGAATGGTGCGTTGTAGAGTGAGAGAGAGGAGGTGGGGTCTCTTTGCTCCAAAGGCCTGGCCACAAATGGGCTCCATCCCCATTGCTAGGCCTGAGAGAACAGAGTATCCTGTTATGTTTGCATAGCCAATGGCTAGTGCGCCTCCGGCTAGAGCGAGCTCGCCAAGGTGGCCGAGAAAGAGCATGGAGATCATGGTTTTGGAGTAGAGGATGAGGCCTGTGAGCACCATCGGGCCTGATATCTTCCCCATTTGTCTTAGCTCCTCCAAAGCCTGAGAGAAAATAGAGAGAGAAAGTTAGTCATGCAAGAAGGTTTTTTCAGTGTTGGTCACTTGGGTCTTGTGTTTCAGGTTGTGTTCATAGCTCGTGTCCTCCCTAGAGAGAGAGAGAGAGATGAGCTTTGTGTGGGTTCAGTCTTACATTTCCTCCACATAAACTTTTATGGGATTTGGTTCCCAGGTATTGACAGAAAGAGATTTTACTGATTTACTTAGTTACAACCAATGGTATATGTAGAGAGAGAGAGAAAATTTTACTGATTTATGTAATTACAGCCAATGGTATATGTAGAGAGAGAGAGAGAGAGATTTTGATGTTGGGTTCCCATGAAAATTTGACTGATTTGCATAGTTACAATCAGTGGCATATGTTCATGGAGAGGTCACCTGCTTAGGAGTTGGCCAGCCATGGAGCTGAGCAAAAGCCTTGTCCTCCTCCTTGTGCTTTATGCTCCCCTCATGTGATCCCTTCTTTTGTGGGATAAAAGGGATGAGAATCTCAGTTTCATTCTCATTTTTAATGAGCTTGCATGGAGAGAGAAGGTCCTCTTTCTCTGTGGGGGATACCCTACACATGGTCCTGGTTGGTTGGTTGGTTTGTTGTTTAGAGAGAGAAAGCACCTTAGAGAGAGAAAACACCAAAGCCAACGTTGGGGGAGGAGACAGAAAGAATGGAGAAAAGAGAGATATGTCTCTTGAACAGAGCAGAAGGATTTGTGTGTGTAGGACTCTCTCCCCCTACTTAAATTGATCCTCTGTGGGTCCCCCACCTAGAGAGAGATTTAAGGCACGTCCTAGTTCTAGAGAGAGAGATACAAGGTGGGGTTTTGTAGAGAGAGAAAGAGGAGAGAGAAAGGGAGAGAAGCAATATATATACTGTGTCCAACAGAGAGATGGGATATATATGGTTTTCTAGTGAGAGAAAATTGCAGAGAGAGAGAGAGAGAAAGAGAGAGGGAGGCAATTAATGGGTTTTTTAGTGAGAGAAAATTGCAGAGAGAGATGGCTTTTCTGGTTTGATATATGCCCTACAAAATCTGACAATGCCTTTTGGCAGTGTACTGTGTTTCAACTTTGGAACAGTGCAATTCCATGTGTAATGCGTCAGTCAACTTTGAAACCATCAAATGCAGATGGAAAATGAACAGTGGTCTCTGATTCACGCTGTAATATAAATTTTTAGGGAGAGAAATGAACAGTGGTCTCTTATTTATGATGTAATTTAGAGAGAGAAACGAATGGTGGTCTCTTATTTATGATGTAATTTAGAGAGAGAAAGTTACGAGTACTTTATTAATGACGCCATGGTGAGCGAATCTGTCCTCCGATTTATCAGACATTCAAGGAAATATATGAAATTCGTAAAGCAAGGAATTAGTGGAAAATTAATGAGCAGATTCAAATTTGGAAAATGGTATGATATGGCTGAAGCTTTTTCAAAACAAGTAAAACCTCACCTCATAACTCATCAAAAATTATAAGGTTGCGGTTAGCAGCGGCAAATGTACAAATGCGAGCTTGGCAATAAATATTATTTTAAATATAATTTGATCTTAAGTTTTAAAAAATAAATAATCTTTAACGGGGAGATCATGAATATGAAAAAATAAATATATTTTGAAAACTAAAAATAATAATTATATTGAAAAAAATATTTGGACTGTTAGTTACAATTGTTTTAGATGGACCATCTATTTGCATTTATTTTTAAGATAGATGCTTTATATCTCTGGAACGCATATTGTACAAATGCAGTCTTGCCTGCATGAAATAATTGTTCAAATTATAATTCAAGCATAGAAAACCTTTATATCGATCATCTTGGCTTGGACATTATGGTTGTGAAATAAGAATATGAATTCAAGCTCTAAAAATAGTATATATTGTAACAAATTATCTAAAACGTCCATTTCGCCCTAAAAATAAGCGTTCATTGATCCGTAAGATCTGCATTATATTTTGAGTTTCAAAATTTATTATCGGTGTTGAAGATTGATTTTAAAATCATTATGGAGATTTTTGTAACCGAAAATACATTCTAGACGAGGATTTGAGGTGAGGCTTTATTTTGCCATCATAAAGTCTAAGCCTTATGGAACCTCATCCTTTAAATTTCTCACTCCTAAATTCTAATGGGTTTTGGACCCACTTGAGTTATTGTGTTCAGTTTTCAAATAAGTTTCCTCAGCTTTCAACCGTATTGTAACTATTGAGAAAGTACCCATTCTTTTGCATAGCATAAATCAACTGTGATTACCTTTAGACAGAGGGGAAAATAAAGAAAGAACGGAGAGAGATGGGGGACATTGAAGAGATGAACGAAAGTACATGTAGAATATCTAGTGATTTAAAACCAGATGATTTTCGATCCGGAACGACAATTTGGATGGAAATTGGTCAGGATCCAATTGACACTAAAATAGTTTGGGTCCGGTCCCAATTCACCCTTAAAACCCCCTTTTTATATCTGTTTTCTTTTTTTAAAAAAAAAATAGTTACTTTTTTTTAGGTGCCTTTAAATTCCGAGTGCAAAAATCTTTATTTTTATTTTTATTTTATAATTTATTAATATTTGTTTGGATCACTGATGCAAACTGATCTAGACCTAATGCACATTGCCGATTGAGAGAGCCAATATGAACCTGTGGGTCGACAGTCTACCCCACTGGTACGGGTTTTAAAACACTTAGATCGTGCTCTGGTACGGATTTATTTTACATTTCACCCATATTTTTTTTTATTCAGTTTTATAAAAAATCATATAGTAATGAGTTGGAATAGTTCCAAAAGGTAAAATGTTGAATAGTTCCAAAAGGTATTTAGACAAATTTCGTTCCCACACATAATAAGACTTACATCAGGTTTGGTTTGCGTAAAATGGTTTTTAAAAAATATTTTCACATAGAAAAAATTCCCACATACGGTCAAATGTGGGAATAATTTTATACTAATTGGTCTTAATGCATATTTTCACACTAATTGACAATTAATTGATATAAAAATATTCTCACATTTAACCGCATAAAAGAAATTTTTCTTATAAACCGCAAATCAATTGTGGTAAATATATTTTTTAAATGCTTTATTTAATATGAAGACGTGTACTATTTGCCATCACATGCATGAATGTCCAATCAACTATTATTTTCCAAAAAAATTAGAAGAAAATTTTTCATCTGCCCAAAGGCGCAATGCTACAGTGTGCGTGCCCCATCTGGGGAATAAGGGTCAGTCCCGGTCCAAACTTTGCACGCACACTCTCTCTTGGGTCCAGCAAACAACTCCTACGTGTAGCAAAAATGATCACCAAAAACATTTTTGTAAAATAATATAAAATAGTTATCTTGTGAAGATAGCAAGTGTAGTGAATAAGGGAAATCCATTTTACCGAAGAAAAAATGGTATTAATCCGAGCCCTGTGATTTGTTTGACACCAAATTTTGTCAATCATCCCCCTTGAATAATTTTCAAATAAAAAATTGCATTTTAAGGTCTTAAAAGGTCATGTGTAACCGCTTTGAAAGCTACTCAGATAAAAAAGCCAATATTTATGACTTTTTTACAAATTTGTTATGGGTTTCTTGAATAGGTCTAAGAGAATCATCGTCATCATCGTATTTTTTTTTTAAATAATTGAGATTAGTTGTATGAATTTGAATCCGTCATTCTGCTCTATTAAGGGTCATACATTCGTTGAGGTTATAATTCCATATATCTTTTTTGACTAATTCCAACTATATCTTTTTGAGCCTACCCTTTGTCCGTTTTTAACCTTCCACTTGAACTAACTCGTGCCTCCTAACATGTCTTATGCTAAGTTTGCACCATACATATAGCCAGCCTATCTAAATCTAGGACCAAGAGAATGCATGTACCAGATTTGAGCCAAGATAAATGCTCCTGATGCCCCCAAGATGGCATAAGGCAGATCAAAGCGGACATCATTTCGAACAGACGAAATGTTCTCCCATCCCACAATGTACATGACTATATTTCCTAATGAGTACCTCGTGGATAACGTACACCAGGAAAGCATGGTCTACCAACTGAATAAAGCATCCACATTTATTCTTAGTGATGGACGATAGAGATTAATCATTATTTACTATGACTCTATGTACTCAAGCGGGTGGGACCTTATGGTCTCAGATGTAGCACCCACACAACGTAGGTATTTATATACATTGGGACCCTAAGGGCGCGTTTGACATGCAAAGTTTTTGGGTGTTGAAGGGAGTCTTCCACAAATTATTGGAGACCACCCTTTCAATCATTTTTTATGAAAGGGTGGTGATCCAAAAATAGGCCTATTTTCAAGCTAAAAAATACTGCTTAAAAGGCCGCTCTTCCACTTTGCACTTCCACACAGCAATATCAAACGTGGAAGTGGGACATTCACCTTTCACTTATCAAAACCTCCTTGAAAGTGGCCAAACATCTTTGAAACTTTCAAAGGGTTTCCTCGAAGGGTAAATTCTTAAAGAGGTGGGTAAAATGGGGCAAATAGAGTGATAAAACCTTTAAGCAACCAATCTCTTAAATCGTCAAAAGAAAAGTAAACACTATGAGCAAATAGAGTGGCAAAGTCTTGATCCTCATTCACTTAAATTGTTTACATTGTCAAAGGTAACTTAAAATGAACACGTGGAGAAAATAGATAACCTTGAAGACCTCAATCTCTTGAATTGACTAAGTAAATAAATATGACCGCAAGGGGCAAATAGTGGTGAAACATTGAAGAGCATGATCTCAAAAGGGATTGTATACAAATAGACCATTTATTTTTTACACAAGGTGGTCACAATTATATACAACTATATCTTAAATGGTAAAAAATAACTAAAAATTGAAGACAAGGAACAAATAGGTAAAAACCTTAAACAGCTGAATCTCTTGAATTGTCAAAGCAACTAAATATTAACAAATGTGGCAAATAGAGTGGTAAGCCCAATCTCTTAAATTGTTGGAAAGGGGCTAGGGTCATCGTGGTAGCACCCCACACCCTAGTCACCACGTTTTGGTTTTTATTCCCACCACTAACACTACCGTACTCACATCTTTAAAAAGTGAACTCCTAATCTACTTGAAAAAACAGGCAAGGGTATCTCTTCCCCACTGAATTACCCAAAAACTAATCTCTTAAAATGCTATAAGTCACTAAAAATATGAAAAAGAAGCAAATAGTTAAAACCTTTTAGGACTTAAATCCCTTGAATTGTCCAAGTAACTACATATGAACACAAGGGGAAAATAGAGTGGTGATTGGTGAAGGCTTTGAGAGCTCAATCTCTTACATTTTCAAAAGTTACTAAACATGAGAACAATGAGCAAATAGGTAAAATCTTAAGGACCTCAAAATCTCTTGATTGTCAAAAGTAACTGAATATGAAAATAAGGGGTGAATAGAGTGGTGCAGCTTTAAGAGCCCAACCACTTAAATTGTCAAAAGTTACTAAAAATGAGATCAAGGAGCAAAAGGGTAAAACCTCTATCACCATCAGAGTCTTTTCCCAATTATTTGGATCAGCTGAAAAGGGGTAAAACCTTAAAAAAACTTAATCTTTTGAATTGTCAAAATAACAAGAGCTCAATATCTTAAATTGTCAAAAGTTACTGAACAAATAGGTAAAATCTTAAAGACCTCAATCTCTTGAATTGTCAAAGTAACTAGATATGGACACATGGGGGCAAAGAGAGTGGTGAACCCTGCTCTTAAATTATCAAAAAGTTGCTAAACGTGAGAACAATGAGCAAATAGGTAT